CGGCAAACCAATGACACTCGATGAAAACTTGAAAAAAAAAAAACGGGTCTAAAAAAGAAGAAGAAGAAGAAGAAGAAGAAGAAGAAGAAGAAGAGGAGGAAGAGGAGGAAGAGGAGGAAGAGGAGGAAGAGGAAGAAAAGAAAGAAAAGGAAGCAAAAACAACGTGGAAAGTCAGAGAATTTCATCGGAGTAAAGAGAATTGTTTGTTCAGAGAGATGATTAGACTGCACTGAGCACGAAGTATCTGCCGTGCAGAGGAAGAACGCCGTGCGAACATTCGAGAGTTACCAAATTTCCTTCAATTAAATGTTTATTATTGAAGAAAGGTATGAATATTTTTCCTTGAAATTTTCAGAGACTTTAGGTGACATTGCGAACAAAATTATGTGAAAAATTGGAGGGAAAATATTCATAAATTTACCAGGAAATTCGTGTTTTATTAAAGAAAATCTGATGGTTCATACGGTGTTCTTCCTTAGCACGACACGTATTCAGTAGAAAGTTTATATTAATTTACTTATTTTTCTTTTAAATTGATGTAATACTCAAAGCGCCTTTACGTTCGTCAACGACGTCGTATATCAATGCAAAAAAAAAATTGAAGCGCTCCGGTTTTTCCAATGACTAAGTCTTGATACAACTATTCGTGTTCTCAGGATGTCCATGTTGCATACATACAAATTGAAGGCGCTCTGGCTTTCTTCGGCACAACGCGTCGCGTCGTTGCACCTTCATTCTTAAGAGTTTTGTACGTTATATTTAAAATTTTGTTCACCATTTGTGTTTACAAATTACGATTTTGATTCCCCCCCCCCCTCCAAATGCAACTAGGTGTAATTTTGTTAAAACTTGGTTCATTCGGAACGAATTTGTTGTAATTATTTACAGATTTCTAAATCGTAGACTTTCGATTATAGCAAAATCGCTTTCCAGCAACATTTTACGTTCAAAGACTGGTAAAAATCTACCCATAGAGGCACTCATTTAAACAAAATTTTATAAAACATTCTGTCTATTTGTCAATTATATTTTTCAATATTTAATCCACAAAAGTATTTGACTTTTTGAATGAACTAATTACTTGGCTTCGAGAGTCTAGTAAAATTCGTGAGTGACAATTTGCTTAAAAATATGTGTCGCATGAAGGAAAATAGGTGAGGTTCTATCTACAAGGATGACGTAAATTGAGAGAGATGCTTTTTCTAAAAAAAGAAACTTTATTAAATGAGAAACATTTCTTTAAAATAGTACCTACGACAGGTATAAAAGTGGAAAATGTGAGTTGCAAGTTAAGTTTTATTTCTTAAATTATAAATAAATACTGAGAAATATACCATACACCCTACGGGGTCTGTAGGTAAGAGGCACTCTTGACGTCAAACAAAATCGCATCAGACACTCACATTGTACTGGAAATACGAATCAAACGCAACAAAAAAGAATTTCAGTCGTAAACTTACAAGGGATATTATGACGTTTCATTTCGTTCAGAGAGGATACCTAACTAAAGATAGAGTACAATACTTTACATAGACGTGATTGCACAGCACACAATAGAGCACAAATTAATTTTTAAAATTAGAATAACAAAAAATGATTACATAGGTAATTATAAATATTAAATATATAAAAATGCGCATAGTAAACGATGAAATGTTGAGCTCAAGAAGGGAACTGTAAACTTCGACGTGATGTATAATTGTGGGCAAAGTTCCCATAAGGTGTTGTGTTCTATTTTCTTTTACGATAAAGCACGTGATTTTTTTTTTGTTTTTTTCATGCGCGTAGAGGATGGTTTGGATACACACTTAAAAAAATACAATTCTGTTCATAGGGCTCCTGCACTTCCTTTGTTACAGTTGCTGAAGTTTCGAATGTGAGGATAGAGCACTCTGTGCTCACGACTAAAGTTTTGTTCTCACAACAGAAAAATTCTGTAAGTATGACAAAAGGAGTGCAGGAGCCCTGTGAACAGAAAGTTCTGTCATAAGCACCAACTTTTTTTAGTAGAGTAGGGGTCTTGCCATATTATTAACAGCGGCGTTTTTTGGACTCTTTAAAGAGGTATAAAACCTCAGTCAGGAGAGAGAGAGACAGATGGAAAAAACTAGGGCATTGTACAGGAAGTTACATAGGTATTGAGAATGATAAAGCTGAAAGAGCTGCAGTGAGAGTACGGCGCCTGATAATTGGCCATCTTTACCTCGACGCAACACCAATGGATTAAATCACCCTCCACGTTTTATTTAAACTATCAGATTGGACACAAAACCGACTTAATGTTGATTGCGGTTCCATAAAACGCGTTCGTGGCGTGAAAATTGCTTTGAAAAATAACAATTTAAAATTCTTATAAGGGGGAAACTTTCTCAGATTTCCTTGGAAAGTTTCACGATTACCACACCAATATCAAGAACTCTCTTTAGCCTCTTCTTTCCCGCGTCAACTTTCTGACGTCATCTGCTCCGTTAAGCCTCTCGTCTCTTCCTGTTTCAAATGGACGTATTTCTGCCAAACGGAACTATGTGCATTAAGACATGAGCCCTGAGACCCATGATAGTATATGCGTAACAGGGCTCACGTCATAATGCACATAGTTCCGTTTGGCAGAAATACGTCCAAATGTGAGTCTTTCTTTGATTCTTTCTCCTCATAAATATTAAGAACAGAAAAATTGCAGTTTGTAAATTCAATCTAAATTATACAATCACGAAGCTCAAATAAAAATAGATCCCGTTCAAAATCAGGATCGGAGCTCTTAACATCTATATATTTGACAGCAATGCCTAATGCAACATTTCTATTTTTTCACACGATTTGTACTTGGAAAATATTGGGGACTCCAGGATCAAGCAAAATAATGAATATGGAGACTCTGATCCCTCCTTTTACAAACATTAAAATACAGATCTTGCAATGAAATAAGTTTAACAAAATAATTATTTGAATATTGGACAGTAATTCTGGAAATTTTTGGCGGAAACACAAAAACATCTATCGTCTATTATTCAAGTTCTCAAAGTAGAGGCGGATTTCTTTCTGAATTGAACTGAAGTCAATTGACATACGTATGATACAATTATATACAGATTGTACACTTTCCAAATGATACATTTTACTATCTATCATAGTATCGGCCATAGGACTTGAAGCAGATTCATAGGTCAGCCGGTATTCTAGGGTACACGTAATCTGGGTAACTTCAATGTTTTCAAACTATACCACGGGACTGTGTGAAAGAATATTGGTTCTTTCTACAAAAATAGACGGTTGCTTCGGATGAAACAGCGTTAAAATGACCGTGACAAGCTCACATACTACGATTGGTCGAGTATGAGACAAAGAGTAGCGTGATCAAACGAGACATCGAGTCGTTACGCAACGAATATCAAGCCCCCACTCTTTCATCGCCAATAATGGACTAAGAGTGACAGTGGCATGGCGAGCTTTGCGATACATCGATTATTCTGCCATCTAGACCTATGGAAAAGGATCGGTACACAGGGTGCTCGTAGCGAGCGACGTAATAATCGATTCTTTACCACGGCTTCAAATGGGAAAATATCGATAATCGATCTTTCACGCCACGCTTTGACGAAAGGAACTCAGAGGAAAAGGCACTCAGTTACAAGAAGGAGAATACTACCGCGCTTAACGCCGCGCGAGTCTCCAGATGTTGTCAAATTTCCTTCGGTAAAAGATGAATTTTCCGGAAAACCTGTGCATACTTTTCCTTCAATTTTTCGGAGAATTTTACTCGGAATCAGATCTTAATTGATTGAAAATTTCAAGAGATAATATTCAAGACTCTTCTCAAAAATGAACATTTTATTTGAGGAAAATTTGGCGACTCTCGGATGTTCGCACGGTGTTTTTCCTCATGGCGGCAGAATAGGATGCTGCGAAAAAAATATAGCTTCATGAGAGGATCGTCGGTTGAAGACCTCCATACAAATTCCGAAGTGGGACCGTTTCAAGTGTTACGTAAGTCATTTCGGCCGACTCTTTAGACCCCCCCCCCTTCAGAAATACGTAAGCTTAGCTTGACCCTGCCACCCGAAATTTTTCCAGGACATAACACAGAAAGTCTGAATTTTTGCTGAAAAAATAGTCTTTGAAAAATTTATTATTTTTTTTTTTAAGCGAGAGGCTACACCCCGAGTCTGACCATTCTCTCTCCTAAGACACTTGTCAACTAAGCTCGGGCCCTTCCCTCCCTTCAGTGGCTTACGTAATACTGGATCGGCTCCTGTACTCTGCCGTGCTACGGAAAAAAGCCGTATGAACCTTAAGGCGTTGCCAAATTTCCTTTGACAAAACACGAATTTCCTGGTAAACTTATGAATATTTGTTTTCCAATTTTTCAGATACTTTTGCTCGCAATTTCACCTCCTGAAAATATCAAGGAAAAATATTCATAAATTTCCTCAAAAATGAACATTTTTATAGAAGGAAATTTGGCAACTCTCGGATTTTCATGCGGCATTCTTCCTTAGCTCGGCAGTACTAATCAAAGTGGTTTTGCACTAAAAAAGATTTCCACGAAAACAAAAAATAATGTATTGCACTGAGTTTATGAAAAATAAATTTGAGCGAAATTTTCGATCACTTTCTGATTATTCTTTCCTGTCATTTCATTCATGGAATACACAGTTCTGATATTCACAGCAACCATATTGATGACCCGAATGAATGAAAAGTATGCAGAAACCATGGACGGCAGTAATGTTTTCTCCCTCCTGCGATCAATTAGTATGCACCTGATGCATAATATCATCATACTTTAATTGGAACAACTATTGGAATAGAGTGAGGATGTAGTGCCTTTTTTTGTGCCTCTTCATTCTACGATTTCATTCTAATTTTTTACAACATTCTGGAAACAACATGAAGGTGAGGGACTTGTTTCATTCATCGTCGGGGAATTCTCACAAATAAAAATGCCTTATCAATTTGACAAGAGTAATTATATGTACATAGTTATTTATGACATCACCATATGCACACACTATCACCGGTAATAAGTATTTGTCATGATCTAGTGTCAATTGTCATTGAATCGGTTTTCCTACTGACGCATTGCAAATAAATGACTGACAAACCTTATTCAACCTGGAGGGCTTGATTAACCCAGAATTAGGAAAAAAAAAAAAAAAAAAAAAAAAAAAAAAAAAAAAAAAAAAAAGTAGAGACTTGGACAGAAGAATTTAATTTAATTGTGCAGGGAATTGGACTTGAACCTAACAAATATTTTACTATTAGAAGCGTCAGATTAGTACGCGACCTTACCAGAAAGAGCCAATGATGCTTGATTAAAACTTTTATGATCTAAGTTCATCGAAAAAAACGAAGAGGTCGAGTGTTCTACAGTAGACTGACTTCAAAATTTGCCAGGAGATCATATCCACCAAAAACTAGGAAGAACAGAGAACGGGAATCAAGATTTGCACTCAAACATATTCCTACTGAAATGTACCGGAATGTATGACAGATTAACAACCGATACTGCGGTAAATATTTTTACACACTTTAACCATTTGTGGTATAACTTTCATTTTGATTATAATTGAACTGACAATTGCAAAATGACTGAGCAGATCTAATAAGAGAAAAAGAGGGAAAACAAACTGAATTATATCTTGATTAGCTATGGCTTTCACACAAAATAATAATAAAAATTTAAACAAAAAACTCGATGGAAATTTAAGGACAACGTCCCTTTTGATTCACATATAATATAAATAACAATACTTCTGGTTAAAAAGTCCATTTAAGTAGATTAGAAACCTAAAAGAAACAGTAATAATCATCACGAGCCAATTCAATGTGAGATTACAACTCATTTCCTTGTAGTTATCATATTCATTGGCGAACTAAAATTATCAATGAATTTTGTCAGAGTACTTTTTCAATGCTATGAAGATACCACTATCATTACCTTGTGTCAACAATGCACTCAAACAATGTAGAGATAGTCAATGATAACAGTTGGAATGTTCCTTCAATAGCTATCAAATAAAGCGGGAATGCAGATGAAATTTGTCCAAGTAATTCTTGTCCTTTGAATTGTGTCATGTTCTTCAGATAAGTCTTTTAAAACTTGGAGTATTTTGATTAATTGTGAAATCTAGATTAGAGGTGCAGTTCAGAGAAGAAGTTGAAATTGAAATGATACTATGAAACTTGTGATAAATTTTTGTTGGCCACATTTCTGACAAAATCTGAAAACTTATACAACTTTTCAGGAAAAATTTCTTGTGTTCACATATGAGGAAACACAACAAAAATGCTGTGGGACAGTGTACCAAAATTTAGAGAGAGACGATACCTTGTCTAACAAGAGATTCCTTGAGAGACAACTTGTAGATTTTTTAGTGGCTGATTCTACGTAGGTATGATACAAGGGTTTACTGGAAACACCTCAATGTTACTACACACACTTTTTTCTTAGCAGTAGGGATGAACACTGCTCAAGAATCTTGAATCTTTTACAAATTGCCTCAATGAATAAAAAAATTGTTCGACAAAATACCTACTCAAAATTAGGAAAGTCCAACAGAAAAGCAAGTTTTTTTTGATGAATTTGAAAAAGAAAAAAAATCTAAGCGACTGTATATGACAATCTTATCACAATTAAATTTAACGAAAGAAAATAAACATCACCATGATGCGTTATTTTTTACTCTCATTATCTGACTTAGATACTTTGTCCGAATTAGTAGTTTTATCCGAGTGAATTGTTGGATCTGATGATTTACTTAATGATGTCTTACTTCCCTCATCCTGATCACTAACCTCCATGGAGGGGTCTATCACATAGTATGGGAGAATTTTGGATGGGCCCGATATCAATGAACTGCTTTCAGAACTCTCAATTATGTATCCTCGGCCAATCACTACTCTTATAGAATCACCCATTATACCAAAATGCTCTTTTAGATCAGCACCTATATCAGAAACATCCCACATAGCTGAGAAGGCAGCCGAAACAGATGGGTTCTGATAGGTTAGATTGATAAACGGAACGTGTGTGAAAGTAAAATAATGAGCAATAGAGGCTAGAAACATTTCGATACAAATTAAAAAATTTTGTAATTTAGATGCTATTTCTCTGACAGAGTCTCGAGTTTCAACGTCAAATACTTGCGAAATCACTCCGGCATTTACTAAAATTGTGATGATAACTCCTTGGAAAAAGGAGAAAAAAATGACACACTTAATACTGAGAAATTTTCCAATAGGTTTCATCGGAGCAAGCTCTTCTTTGGTTGCACGATAGAATAATACTAGACAATACATGGCAAAAATTTGCGATACGTTATTCACAGCAATTATATACGGGTAAGATCCAGTGCTAAGTTCCCCTTCATGATAGACGCCGAACCAATCACAAACTATTGCAGCTAATGACGTCATTGGTCTCACAATAGTATACTGGAGAATACCATGTTTGCAACGGTGGATCAACTCTCTGCCCATCCTCCAATTTGTCATCCAGCAAAAGGGAAAGATATGTTTAGTTTGAGATTTCTTTGCCAGAGTAGTCTCAAGGAATGGATCGGCATCGTCAAGGTAATTGAATAAAAATTTCATGAAACTATAAATTACATACGCTTCATAGCACTCACGGAGACTATTCAGGTAGAGCACACGAGTTGGGAAGACTAGACCAAACCAAGCATTGAAGGCGTAGATTGGCACCATCCACAGGATTCGAATGATGTGTTTCTGAAGTGAGGGCTTGGTGTAGTGGATCATGTGCTGGACTATCTCCCAAAATGATATGGGTACAGCCATCATAACAAATATGCCTGCGATCAGATAGACGAAGCTGTCTTTCTTGGTTGTACTTTCTTCGAAGGCTGCAATCGTGAGGTACGGTACAAGGACAAGAATTATCACTGAGTAAACGAGGGCAACAAGCGGCCTTAGCCATTGCGTCCATTCTCTTAAAAAATTGAGTTTCAACATGATTGTAAAATAAAGATACGAACTGATCAGCCCAGGTCACAAAACACAGCAAGGTTTTAAAGGTTCTTTTGGGTGTAGAACGCAGTTGAAAAACGTTATCTTATCAAAATAAATAGACACTTGAAGACACTTGAGGCAACTTTGTGTGATGAATAATTTTCAGGAACAACGGGGGACACGGAAGGTTCTGAGAGATGATTTTCGGTTTCACTGATTCCATGGCATTGGCAAAAGGCTCAAGTTCGCGGAATGCAAGCACTAAAAAATTAAATTAAAATTTTACAAGGCTCTTCAGTTACGAGAAAGATACCGAGTTAGTTGTTAGTTCCCTACTTCGCTATGATGTTACATAACCACGCTAGCCACCAATGTAAACAGAGCAGCAGCTGAGTGACGCCCCACTTCCACCGCACTTCCTCCACTTGTAAACATTTCGCTCAACGGTGCGCACCGTTGGAGACGAGAAGCGGGCAACTCCACTCAATTCAAATGTTTAGACCCGCAGCGGACGAAGTCGCCCCACTGCCAGTCGATCGGACTTCTAGGGTCGTGGGCATTATTTACACAGATACAGTTTCGTACTGCCGTTGTAAGGAAAAACGCCGTATGACCCTTCAGGCGTTGCTAAATTTTCTTTGATAAAACAAAAAATTACCTGGTAAATTATTGAATATTTTTCTTCCAATTTTTTAGATAATTTTATTCGTGTTTTAATCTGAAGTTCCTGAAAATTTCAAGGAAAAATATTCATAATTTTCCTCAAAAATGAACATATCATTAAAGGAAATTTGGCAAATCTCGAAAATTCATACGACGTTCTTCCTTGGCACGGCAGCATGCATAGCTAGTTTAGTTTTTCACATAGAGAAGCATTGTTAAGATGCAAAATCTCATACTTTTTAAGGAATATTCCATGAAATTTCGTAAAATTTCACCACTTTTTCCAAGCTGTATGAAATGTTGTGATACTTTACAGTTTTTTAACACTTCTGCCATTAATTCATTGTCAGCATGCCGTAAAACTTGCGGAAACAGTGGAATCTTAATTTTGAAATTTTGAAAAAGAAAAAAAGAGGATGACTCAAAATTCTAAGTTGTTTGTAGTGTCCTCGGATCGTTGTTGCAAGTTGCACACGCAGCTGCAAGCCCCTGAAAAATCTTAATATTTCATTTTCCATGAAATTTCTTCTTTCAGGGGAAAATTCCGTGTGAAATTTCATTTCGTAAATTTATTTTTCATTTTTGGTGAAAAAATGAAACTGCAACTGCAGGAACGCGAACCTCGTTTAAATAGAGTAAAAGTAAAAAATTTGATACTTCTTAAAATATCTGAAAAGCAAAATTTGACTTAGTTACACTTCGGCTCTCAAACCGCGTACCGATGGTGAACGTGAGAAAATTTAGTATTTCAAAACGATGTATCAAAATTTTCACTATTCGACAACTTTTTTCAAGTGAAGAAGGAGGCATCATGCAAAATCTCACGAGTTAAACGGCACCGGCAGATGAATTAAAAAAGAACTGTCGTGAAATATTGCGGAAGGTATGAATTCGATCGATATGAATAAAGCGAAAAATAAAAAAGAATATAGATCGACGTGAATCGATCCACAACTGTGAGTCGACCAACGAACTTGTGTATCGACCCCGGTTTTTTTTTCTTTTGTCGATTCAACCGGTGTCGATCCGTTCACGTCGACCGAATCCATACCCTAAAAATTTGCGATCTCCTAGTAACGTCAAAACCCAAGATTCGTAAGGCACTGGAAAAAAAAATCGCTTGGATCCAGAGGCAAGACTTAAACATTGACAAGAAAAAATACTCTTGATTCAATCGGACTTTTTGCTTGAATCAAAAGGAAATCCGCCTATCTTAGGCTCTCCGATTCAAGCAAAAAGTCCGATTGAATCAAAAGTATTTTTTTCTTTTCAATGTTATTAAGAGTCTGGACTCTAGATCCAAGCGACTTTTTTTCCAGTGGGTCCTAGTTTCGACACAGATATGCGACTCTTGTCCTCTCAAAACGCGTTGGCACGAAAAAAAACAAGAGCTTGAACTCGTAGATTCCGATCTGAAAATGGCCTCCCGAGAGAGAACCTCCCTCGTCCTCCACTCAAAAACCAATTATCATCTGCTCAATTTGACGTATTTCTGCCAAACGGAACTAAGTGCATTTAGACATGAGCCCTGAGACTCATAAGAATATATACAGAACAGGGCTCACGTTATAATGCACATAGTTCCGTTTGACAGAAATACATCCAATTCCATTTGTTCTCTCCGTCGTCGGCTGCTCCATCAGTCTCGGGCGGGTACAAGATGAAATCGGGGGGTTGGTTCTTTGCAGAGCGTAACATCTGCAGCACGGAGCAGCAGATTAAGTGGGGTGCGAAATTAGGCCAGGCTACCAAACTGACAGCGGTGTTTTCTGACTGAAAATGTAGACTTCCATCCAAAAGGTAAAAACCTCCCAACTCCGATCAACATTTTTTGGTAGCTTCCGGACAAAATGCCGTCTTACAAGATGACTAACAAATATAAATTGCTAAAAAGTTGCTAAGGCGCATAAGTGCAATAGAGAATTTACAGGTGTCTGAAATTTGATGAGCTTCGTGTATAAGTGGAAACTACTGAGTGAACTGAATACGAGGATATCCTTGGTCCATGAATTGAACGATTATTGGAGAAGATATGATGAAATGATCTAATCTGCTAAAATACAAGTGTTCAAATGGAAATGCCGCCAGATTTTGCCTGGACGCAACTGTTCGTGTTCGAGGGATGTGCTGGTTGCATACACTCAAAATTGTAAGCGCTTTATTTTTCCTCACAGCGCAGCGCTTACTGGGTCTGGTCGCGATGATTTGTGATAAATGAAAGCCCATATTGCAAGAACAATCTATGAATTCTTACACTTTGAAGGTAAGACCGTGCCTGCCTTGAATTTTTTTGAAAATCATTGAGTTTTCTCTTTTAAATATTTTGCAGAGGCAAATCATTGTAACCCCTTGCAAGTTAGAGGAATGACTATAAATACAATCCTAAGGAAATTTCAAGGAGCCTTCTATATTGGCATAGAAAACGAAAACTTCTCAGGAGCGTTAAGTAAAATTCAAAGAGCTATTCCTGAAAATACATCTTCGCAAGGGATTACAATGATTTGCCACTGCAAGAAATCTAAAAGAAAAAACTCAATGATTTTGACAGAATTCAAGGCAAGCGCGATACTACCTTAAAATTTTAAAACAAATTCAGATTCCTTGTGCGATAAGGATATCCAGTGACTACCTTAAAATTTTAAAACAAATTCAGATTCCTCGTGCGATAAGGATATCCAGTGATCATACATTGTTGCAGCCGAACGCAGGCGCTACGCGCTGGGCACTGCGATACAGAAAACCAAAGCGCCTGTAATTTTACGTGTATGCAGCATAGTCATCCCTTACACATGAGTAGTTGCATGCAGGCGTTGCAACAACGATATCCGAAGCGACTCCAACTCTCTCTCCCTCTAGCGACGGAATATCCACGGTTAGAGTTGTAAAACACGTACCTTTTTTCATGATAAAAAATTGATTTTTAAAATGCGCTTTTCAAAATATTTTTTATAATCTCTATTTAAAACGTTTGAAGTCAAAACCAATTTTATTTTAACATTTCAAAGCGGTTAAAGAGGTTTTAAGGAGGTTTTCCAATGCCAAGAATGCCCAAGTTGTTTTCTAAAATTACTACAATTTTTTTGGTTGTTTTCCGTAAATTTCACATTTTAAAAATCAAAACAAAACGTTTCAAAAACAAGCTTATTTTTCGGTGTGCTGTTCAGTAGACACCGTGTTCAAAATGCGATTCTAGGATTAATGCAACCGATTCATTTTCAAAAGTCGGGAAATTTAAAAGAGAACCTTTGGAATGGAAATGCTCCGATTGATTTATTGTTCCCTCGCGCTGGAGATTACCTCAGTCAAGAAGTAGGATCGATTTTCGTAAGTTCGATTCAGTAGCGTGGCGTGCTTTGAGATATGTCGATTGATCTATAACTTAAACCTACGGAAAAGGATCGATACATAGAGTTTTGGCAACGAACACCCGAACAATCGATTCTTTAGCATATCTTCAAATAGGGAAATATCGATTATCGATCATTCACGCCTCGCCTCCGGTTCAATTTTTCACATTTTATGCAGCATCTCCGGTGCGAGGTTTTCAGCGCGAAATATACCGCCGTGCGAAGGAAAAACGCCGTATGAACCTTCAGGCGTTGCCCAAGCTCCTTTGATAAAACACAAATTTCCGGATAAACTTATGAATATTTTCCTCTCAATTTTTCAGATAATTTTGCTCGCAATTTCACCTAAAGTTCCTGAAAATCTCGAGGAAAATTATTCAAAAGTTTCCTCAAAAATAAACATTTTATCAAAGGAAATTTGGCGACTCTCGAAAGTTCATACGGCGTTCTCCCTTAGCGCGGGAGTATACCGCACTGTAGCTTTCGTTACGGGAGCGTCCCGCGGGGATTCTCACCGTCTCTCGACCATTTCTATCGCGAAAAACTGGTTCTCCAATCGGACTCGCGCAAAAGAAATTGAACTGCAACGTATATTTATTTCTCCTCCGTTTTTCTCTCGTCATGGGCTGGCCGGAGCAAGCACGTAGCCAAGGGACCTGGCCCGTTTGCCCTCGTAAAAAAGAGCTGAAAGAACAGCAGCATGAAGGGACCGGGGAAAATGAAGGAAACTTACAGGCTCTTGCAGGTTAAATGGGGATTTTTTTACTGCACCTGTTTTGGGAATATGAATATTCACTCTGGCTCAGTGAGAGGATCATGGTTATGTTTTAGTGATTGGTAGACGTCTTCAAAATTCCTTAACTTCTTCCACGAATTTCCTGGCTTTCCCCCATGTCAAGCATTCCCAGACAGAAAAAACTGATTTTCCTGGTTTTTCCAACCGCTGCACAGTGCGTATAGTGTCAATCAGAGAGGTCGAACATAAAATTTTTGACGAAAACTGCAAAATTTGATGTTTATTTCGATCAATTTTAAATTTTGAGGGGTGTTTCCAGGAGAGAAATTAACGAGAAAACCAATGGACCTATTTTTAGAACCTCAAAAAAGTATAAACAGAGTTATAAGCTTTTAAAGTTTCTAAATTTTGTCCGACCTCTCCTATTGGCTTGATCCACTTTGCACCAGAAAACCTGTGACTGAGTTTACCTATAGAAAATAGTATCCCCCCCCCCCCAAATTTTCTAGACAGTTTTTACTTGAACCGCGATTTTTGCAGAAGGTCCCCGAAAATATAAAAAACCTCTAAAAATACGGGTGACGGAGAAAGCGCGAACTTTAAAACCTAGTGAG